CTAACAATCTTCTCAGTTTAAGCTTAAGCTAAGCAAGTTTTAGCCTAATTGCCTTAAATTAAAGCTCTGATACCAACTTGTAACACCCTCATTTTCCTTCAAGAGAGTCGTTACGTAATCTAAAACATTTTCCTTAATAGATACGCCAAAATAGTGGCTAAATTAAAACCATTTAAACGATTACAGCGGAGTCTTTGAATCATTCCAATTTAACTTAAGTTCTAACCCACTTTCTCTTGGGGTTAAGTTACAAATGATCATTACAGCGCAACTAGTCAAAAGACTGTAAAATAAATAAAAATGATCAACTCTCTAAGCATGTCCTTTGCCTTTACACGTCCTCGAACTACCTGGGCCTGAGATGCATACAATAGTCAGCTTATAAAGCTCAGTGAGTTCATGGTTTGCGTGAGTAAAGTTCATTTCACATCATACATATCAACTTGTAAACTTTGTACCAAATAGTATGCATTTTCTGAAAAACATGCAATACCGAAGGAAACATATATCTGTAAGACACTGAACATACGAGATCTCGTATAACGTTTAGTCGGGTATGGGTCATTTAGTCACAAACACACCCTGGGTTAGATATTTCAATCTTAACTGGTCACCCACTTGTCCGGGTAGTGTTTTATACTGGTCGTGACTTGCTGGTCAAATGTCCACCCTTAACTTATCAAACTTTTAGTATGGATTAGCATGCTAGAGTTATTTGAAAACTGATTAAACACGTAGCATGTAATCATTCATAAAATAGCATGCATGTAAAATATATCATAACATGCATGTAAACTGAAACATCATGCATACGTACACATCATCAGAAATTCATATCATGTAAAAATAATTTGTACTTAGGTATGCATCCCAGTGAAATCTCATGAAGACTCACCTGATAATGTAGGTTGCTTATCTAATGCTGCTGACTGGTAGCCTACAATTTATAATAACAAATAGTATATAAATGATTAATTTCTCCCAAGGCTACATAAAAGTCAACTTACGGTCAACTACGTCGGCTAGGGTCATCCTTGGTCAACTATGCTTAAGAACGTTCCTCATATCAACAAAATTTTAAAAACGTAAGTTCCGTCATAAGGTGCATCGTCTAGCTATATATATCTTAAAATGACTAAGTCTGGAAGAAGACCAGAGCCTCTGTGGACGGCCAGAGCCTCTGGTTGCATTGACAGAGCCTCTRGACTCTCAAGTCCTTTAGGGCCAGAGCCTCTGTGGATGTATCGACAGAGCCCCTCTGTGGTCTCTCTCTTCCAGAGCTTCTGGTCTCACGACCAGATCCTCTGGTTGAATCATACTTAGCAATTATATATATCACATCAAGGACAGAGCCCCTCTGGTCTCTCTTCCAGAGCCTCTAGTCTTCATGACCAGAGCCTCTGGTTCTTAGACAGATTTTATTTCAACATATGACCAGAGCCCCTCTGGTCCCTCTTCCAGAGCCTCTGGTCCCAAATCATACTTGGAAAAATAATTCAAGGGCCAGAGCCTCTCTGCGGTTTCTTCCAGGGTTTCTGTCTAACACAACTTGATACAAAGCTCTCACATAGAGCTTCTGGCTACTATAACTTGATACAAAGCCCCCATGTAGGGCTTCTGTACCACATAACTTGGTACAGAGCTCTCATGCAGAGCCTCTGTATAACCTTCTTTAAAGTGGTTTCTAAACAGAACGCGATACGGCGTATTCACCAAATGAAATCTAAACTTTGAATTCGAACTCTAAAATACGAAGTTTGGACGTAGGCCTTCATAGAGTTCTACACAGGGTCAAAGGTACAGCTAAACATTGTAACAACATAAATTTCGGTTGAGCATTTACCTCTAAGAAACGTGAAAACAGGGGGTTCTTGCCTGGTCTTGAACTCCGGTTTTACTCTCTCTAGCTCGCCGATTTCCTTCTTCTTTCAAAAATATGGCGAGCCTTAACCAGTGCCCATATTTTATACTCCAACGATTTGGCCTATTAGTAGACCAAATCGGCCGAATCCCGAGTTTTGGGCTGTGAACGGCTTCTCCACAGCCTGCAACCGGCAAGTCACAGTTTCCCCTTTTGAACCAGGCACCGCCTGTTCCTCTTCTGCCTCTCTCGATCGTTGACAGCAGGCCACCCTGTTGCAGGTCTGTTGCCTATTTACAAAACAGGTCCTTCTGGTTTGGATCTGCTTACACACGACCCAGTCCCTTAACTTCCGTGAATTGACAACTTTCACCCATGTCTTGGCTTCTTCCTTCACTTTTGGTCCGACTTTTAAACTTATTTCAACCTTCTATTTTTATTTGATTGATATATATATATATATATATATATATATATTCTTAAAATAAAGTAACAATAAAGATAAATTATTTATTCCACAAATTTTTTGGGTTTTACACCACAAACAAGACTTGATGCCTCCATGGTACCCATGCAAAGTTCAGTTGGAAAAACAACTATAAATGACCACTACGAACGAAGGATGCAAGTCCTCTCAACAAACTCCATATCTGCATAAAAAATGCCACTATTCTAAATTCAATTAAAGCGTTTCTAAATTTGATCATTTGTCTTCTTGTGATGCTAGTTAAAGTTTCAAAACTTAAAAAGAAAAGGGATCATATGATTGTAGGTGATTTTGTAGGAAAAAAATACAAGACAAAGATTTACATAATAAAATGTCATACATTTTATCATTATGAGATATACGACATGAAACCACCACCATCCCTACACCTTGCTCGAGTGTAAGAGATGTCATACAACATCATTCTCTTTTAAGACCGTCGTTAGTTAATCTAATTTATGTCAAACATAATTAATATCTACTTTTTATTTAATTAGACCAAAACAATACAAATTAAATATAATAATTAAACATTTAGTTATTGAAACTCCTTGTTGAGTTTTGTTTAAAGTGTATGACTAAATTCAATTAAAAAAAATTGGCGGTCAAAATTATCGGTTTAGAGTTTTAAATGGTGAAAGAGAAGAAAAATAAAGCATGTTAAAAATGCACATCTTTTAAATATTTTTTTAGTTAAAAACATTATTAATTAATTAATATAATAAGAATATAAAATAAAAAGTGAAGTAAAAGGAAACACATAAAAGTTGTAAATGTACAAAATGTCTATTTTTAATTTATACCTTTTCTTATTTTGTTAAATATATTATTTTTAGAAATCACTACAATAAAATTGGGTTTATCAGACACCCCCAATCTATAAACGTTCCAATAGACCATTTTATAGAACTTAATTTTTAGGACCAAAATATAAAGCGTCATATCTAAAGGTATTGTAATAAGTTTGATGACTTTTTTGACGTCTTAACAAGTTTTTTAGGACATTTTAACACAAAGTGTCGCATTAACAACTTTATAGGGCACTTTTGAGAAAATGTCCTATAAACTCAATTTTTTATAGGACATTTGTTTTTATATGACAGTTTTTCAAATAGTGTTCTATAAAGTTGCTAATGGGACACTTTATATTAAAAATGTCCTAAAAAACTTATTACGACGTCAAAAAAATGTCATATAAACTTATTACAACGCCTTTAGATAGGACGTTTTATTTTTGTGGTCCTATAAACTAAGTCCTATAAAGAGGTCTATTATGACGTTTAAAAATTGGGAGTGTTCTATAAACCGATTTTGTTGTAGTGAATGATAACCATATTAAGTAAAAGAAATATGTATATTCTTTATTAGATTTATCTTAAAGATTATATTTTAGATTTTTTATATTTTAAAATAAGATGTTTATCCTCTATTTGATTATATTTATCCGCAATTAGTTATACGAATTCAAAAATCGAG